CCCCCCCCCCCCCCCCATCACTTTTCTAATTGTTCGCCCCTAATCTAGGTACAGTAATCTATTCTATACAAAATCTGAGCTACTAATTATATATACAACATAACATAAATTGAAGAGTCGTTCTGCATGGGGTCAACGAATTCAGCATTGACATTGATAGCAGGTGCTCGTGATTAATACTCATTCACCAGAATTATTTAAAATACGATAAGGAATTTTAGAATAGAGAAAGTTTTTTTTCTGTTTGTCATTACAGTTATATACAGTTAATTATATACAAATTTTGTCGAAAATAGTTGAATGGCTTTGGCAAAGCCTTTCCATAGATACAAACCTTATATTTCGGTTGCGGGCAGTTTCCTTCGATTTTAGACGGTGTCTCGCATGTTGGTTTTGCTATCTTCCCTGAGATCACTTTATCGCATAACTTCTGTGATTTGAACAGCTCAGACACGCCCTTTGGACATTTTGAATAGATCTTTGGGCACGCCGTAGCAACATCCCCATAGGCATCATAATCTTGACTACCATCTGCCGAACATTTGGGAGCGGCCTGGCCACACATTGTTGTCTTGAACGCGTCCTTACATTCATCGCTGGCCAATGATACCCCCAGTCCGTTTAACGAAACATTTGTTAGTCTTGCCTGTTGGTTATAAAATTTCGCTGCAATCGCACTAAGTTTCCAAGTCACCGGACAAGGCCCGATGCTGTCGACTGAAACACAACCACCATCCCGCTCGGCAAGTACATAAAGGTCGTTATCGGCTGTTGCTCTTTTCGAAATATCATGTGCCTGGCTTCTGTGTACAACCAACAGAAATAAGTACCCATGTAAGATGCATATAGCATTCATTTTGAAATTTAAGACACAAATGAATGTACACTGCTATCTCTGTTTCACTCCAGAAAGTTGTTTAGAATTAATATCTGTTGCATATCTTAACCAGCTTGGAATGTAATATCATTGGATGCAACACATTGAAAAAGCAAGGAAATTCCTTGCGTCAGCGTCAGTTTTGAGATTAAAAGGGTAACGCCCAATATTCGACATTAGTTCCCTTGGACTACTGAATAAAACTACCCGTAAAGAAACCTGGTAGTTGTATTGAATCAACACAGCAAGAGGTCTGTACGCAGGTTTATATGCATGTAGAGAGTTATTCCATAAGAACTTTATTTCACTACAAGTTTGAATTTACTTCATGCACAATTTCGCTTACTGTATATGGATAAATTAAAAAAGAGCAAAATATAGTGTAATCTATTTTTATTGCCAAATAAAACAAAAACATCACAAGTGTCAAGTGATAAAATATCTAGTGTGCACTGTAACCCACCGTTGTCATAAATATATCCAACGATGTACAAAAAGCCATTGAACTCAAAACATTTTGGAACGCTTACCTTCATAGAAACCTGTTATTAGTCGGGTGTTTTCCAAAGAGCTGGACGAGAATTAGTTAAATATTAGAGTAGATGTTTAGTGCCAGAAAGAACTAGGAAGTGGAAACACCGAAATGCAGTATTTCATGACATATGTGGATGAACTTTGAACGTAGTTTTTGGTGGCGTTTATCCAAACCCTATACTCCCTATCGCGTATCTTTATTAAATTTCTATATAGGGGCAGCGTTTTAGGTGTTGAGTTCAATGGATCGCCGCCACTCTGTCTCGCTCTGCTAATGTAATTTGCTGCTGGCAAATGTAATCATGTAGTTGCCCACGACTCCGCAAAGAAGACAGGGATGACTGAATTTTCAAAATGTTAAAGTTCAAGAATAGTTGCCCATGCACACGTCAATACAAGACGTTTCCTAGTGAAAAATAGTTTCCCCATTTTCCCGTAAAATAAAGTTTAAAGCTAAAAACACAACACAGTGAGCAAGATATCACAAGTTTTTCAGGCAAACAGTTTCACAACAATGAAGCTGAATAGCAATACAACGCAATCAACCAGCTGAATGTTGCCAGAACCATTGGTGCCAGAACCATCATAAACATTGGAACCAGCTGGATAAACCGCGCATGTTTCTTCAAGATTTTCTATGGAAGGACGGAGTTGCGTTTCAAGGAACGGGGCTGCCTTTATTAATGCTTCGATGGGATCAATAAGACTACAAACACAATGAACAATAGTGTCAATAAATAAGAAAGCTTCGGGTTGATAAGGATTCAACAACATGAAAAACACAAGAACTTCGGTTCTTCGTCGCCAGACAAAGAACCTTCGCTTGAAACGTCGAAGTTTATAAAGTTCTTGTATTTTCAGGTAATTTTATGCCTATCAATCCGAGGCTAATTAGCCCGCGTGCAGGCCCACCGAGGGAAGAAATAGGAGTAATGTCCAATACAGGCATTTGATGTCTGATAATGACGATGGTGTATGGTGGTGTATGATGGTCGATGATAAGGACAATAATGACCTTATGGATTTATGTAGTTCATGCATGCATAGTAGACAATACGCATTCGGGATTAGGTTAATTGTCGTGATAGTTTTAATTTAAACTTTCAAATTTATGTAAATATAGCTCATATAAAGTAAAGTGTGATCACTCAACAGAGACGGAGATATTATGGTTGAGAGCGTGGTCAATAATTTTATAAACCGCCGTTTGTAAGCGTGTTTTTTACATTGAACATTAAAATTTTGAAGACTATAATATCTTGTGCGGTATGTCCGTAACAGTCGAAGTGTGTCAGATGGTTGTCAGATGATTGTCAGATGATTGTCAGATGGTGTAGGGAGGTTATACAGGGAAGGGTTGTCAGATGGTGAAGATGGTACAGATGGTGTATGATGGTCGAAGTGTGTCAGATGGTGTATGATGGTGTAGTGTGGTTATGACACCATCTTCACCACCTGACAACAGCTGTTCAGCTGAACCATCCTACACCGTCCGACACCACACTCAAGCATCTGAAAAACAAAGCATCTGACACCATCTTACACCATCTTCACCACCTGACAACCGATGGCCATATTGGACATATATGGGAAATAGGAGAAATAGCATCCTCGTACCCAGGGTCTTTTTGGCCGTGCACCGAGCACAAGAGAAAATAGCCTGGGTACGAGGCGAGGTTGGTGAAATAGAGGCTAATTTCAAAACCTATTGATTCAGAGTATGATTGGTTCACTGCATTATACAATTCTAACTTGAAACGCGAGGTAATGATGATGATGATGGTGGTACATGGTGATAATGATGGTGGTATGGTGAAGGTAATGATGATGACAATGATCATGATGATGGTGGTGATAATGATGGTAATGTTGATGATAACGGTAATGATAATGACGATGCTCGCGATTATAACCCCGTTCCATCCCACGTTGCTTACCAGTGTTTTGTGGTGTTCTCACAGTCGGCTTTAGTGTATTCCGTGACCAGATATTTCTCATCTTTGGAGCAGTAAACAGCAACACATTGCAGTTCCTGAACATCAGATGTGCATTTAGGGGAAGCACCGATTCCTTTCAAACTTTCAACGGTTCCATTGTCTGCTGACCACCTTTTGTACAAGTACAAAGCATCAGTTGGCATCTGAAAAAAATACGAGTTATTATATCAACAGGATAAGACAGTCTCCATAGTCCATACCCAGTACCAGCAGTGCTAGAAAACACTGTTGCATGTAAAAGCATTGCTTTCAACTGGGCCGCCGAGAGCTTGGTGGGGGCCCGGGGCAAATTTTTCTTAGGGGGGCCCTATTCAAAACATTTTTCCGGACGAGTACGTTGTAAATGCTTTTGTGGGAATTTCCCGAAAAACACAAATATTTCGACCCAAAAACGGAAATATTTCGCGCCAAAAAACGACTGGGGTCCAACAAAAAATTTCTAGGGGCCCCCAAAACCTCGGGGCCCGGGGCAATTTGCCCCCCCCCCCTGCCCCCCTCCCCGCTCTCGGCGGCCCTGGGTTTCAAACAGGGAACTATGGTCTGCAAATGATAGAAACCAAACGTGGAAAAGAAAATATCGGTTTCAAAATTCATTGTTGGGAAACATTTTTGTATCGTGGACCCGGCAGCAGTGGATAAAACGCGGAAAAAGAAATGAGACGTAGAAAAAAGCACAGAACGCGGGAAAAGGGATAAAGCACGCGGAAGAGGATAAAATATGGTGAGAGTGTTCGAAACACGGATTCCTCTGGTGGCCCCCCCCCCCCCGGCGAGTGCCGAGAACCCAACGGCTGGAATCTGAGCGTACAAAAGACTCTCATAAGCGCGAGTTACAGAATTGCGGGGTTCAATTAATTTTCATCTAAAATACCAGGCAAATTGCGGCTAATACTTTTGAAAATGACTAAACGCCCGAGTAAATCAAGCACCACGCGTGACTTAGGAATTTCCGACGCATAATTCATTTAAGAAGAGTAATACGCAATAATAATTATTGCACAAAATTTCAGATTGATAATCACAGTGTTTGTTACTTTATAAAGCACATTAGCAATGTTTCAATCTTATCAAACTCAGAGCTCAAACTCACTCAAACTGCTACATCAGCAGTCGTTTTTTTTTACAGTTTGCCAGAGAACATAGGCGTAGCTGTTTACAAGATTTGCCTGGACAGAGACTCGCCAATATATCTGTCACTTTCCCGAGATATTTTGCCTGAAAATGGTGCACATCTATCTTTTGCTTCTGAGAGATAACTCACATTTATTACATACAAACTTATTCTAGAAAATAATTATTCCAAATAAACTTAAAACAAAAACTGTAAACAAAAGCATAGTCTGTCAAGATATTCGCTCGGTGACGTCACAGAAATCAAAAGCGTGCACAGAGGACTTGGGACTAGTCTGGTGGTTCTCTCAAGCACAGAATAAAGACATACAGAAGTGTAACTTCCATTACAAAACCGTAAGGCGCTTTCACCGAAATAGCTGGCGGCCATGTTCTTAGCAAGTACCCTAAAGAGAGGCATTCACCCCCCTGGAATATTAAATTTTCAATATGTTTTCAGGGGGGTGACTGCCTCTCTTTAGGGCACTTGCTAAGAACATGGCGGACTGAAAAAATCCCTTACGCACTTTTAATTGCTGCCGCAGCGAGCGAGCCTGAAGCGAGCGAGCAAGGCAGCAGATCCTAATTTTGTTTTGTGGGTCGAAATCAAAATTTTCTATTTGGCGCATTGCATGACGGTACCAGTGAATTTTAACCGTGGTGCAGCGCGGTCAGGCATAAGGCAAACAGGCAATGTGATCATGTTTCATCTTTGGTCTTCTTTTATGGAAAGCCATAGCTGGCTTAAAGTGATCAAACGGCATTTTGTTGGGTGCTTTTGGCATTATACACGGTGCTTTCGCCATTATACGCGGTGGTTCCAGTATTATACGCGGTGGTTCCAGTATTATACGCGGTGCTTTCACCATTTATATACGCGATGCTTTTGCAATTATACGCAGTGGTTCGAGCACTATATGCGGTGCTTTTAATATTATACGCGATGCTAGCTTTCATTCAACATTATTTCCATATTCTTTCCATGACATGTATATGATTTAACGATTGCTTAAATTTGGTATGTGCATGGTTGACAAATGCTTTTTGCCTATGGTCTGCAAGGACAATGACATGCTTTTCTGTGTATATACATGTAAATGAATATAACGCAGCGAATGCGCCAAACAGTATAAACGCGGCTGAAATACGATATTAAAATCTTAAATGTGCCGTATGATTTAATTATGTTTTAGGATTTACAAATGCTTTGTCATTTGTTTATTTATACTTGTACTGCATCACAAGGCAGTACGTACTGTAAGTGAAAAAACTCCACATGTGAGATTGTCTTGTATATATTTTTGCTTTCTTTGATAAACACTATTAAACACGCAAATTTTAATTAGTGAGACGCAATGTTAAATGTCACCTGCATTTCATTGTCATTGCCCTTTAACCCCTGGTCTAATTGGCCGCTTTTGAAAATATTGATCATGACGAATCGCACTGCCTTAATTAAATGCAAACTTTGTGTTTTAAAAACGGGTTAGGATAAAACGCGGATACGGACGGACGGATGAATGACGGACGGACCGGACGGATTACATATATATGTCGTTATATAGTCTGCGCGCAGCCGCGCAGGGTAGTTAGTGCCTTACGTCTTCGCTGGTTGTTATACTTTAAAATAATTTTGTATGTACCGAGAAATCAATATTCCGAGTATATAAATATATAAACTGGGATGTCACACTGATAGCTTGTTTACATTTCCTGGAGCATCATGAAATCTTATGTTTAACCACGGTGGTTTAACCCATTAGCTGGCAATGCGCCCTTCCCTTGTCGAGCGCCAGAAGATTTAATACTCGTCAGTGGCATAGGGTACTGCCAGTAAATGGGTTAAAAAACCTATCTGCCAATGGCTCTTGTTAATTCATCAGCACAGTAATGACCCCTACTTTAGTATTTACCCTGTCCAACGCCAGACGATTGTTAATACTCAGTCAGTGGTTGGGTACTGTCAATAAATGGTTTAACAAGGATAAAAATAATTAGCCTGCATGGCAGGCGGTATTTCCCAGGCTTGCCCAATTTTAGAAACCGCCTGCCATGCAGGCTAAACAATAATAGGATGTTTCTGAAGGACTCGTTCAACACCCTGTAGTTTGTCTTTTGCTGTCAATGGCAGCATTACTGCCCTGTGGGTAACCTAGTAAGAAGATACACTTCTGTATGTCTTTATTATGTGTCTCAAGCATTTCTTACAAATCCTTCAAGATTTAGAATTTACCTATGCAAAATTCCTAATGTGATTACAGAAACTTTGATAGGGCCTGTTCATATGCCAATATGGGGATAAGTTATCACCAAAATTATTTGGCCAGTCGAAATTGTGACAATTATTGGCAGCTTGTCAACCCACGCAATTTATGCACAAACACTTCCCCATGTCCAATGACACTAACAAATTCCTATTTCCTGTTATTCACATATGTTTGTGAAGAGTGTCCCTATATGTCGTGTGTCGTGGGTTAAAAGTCGTGTGTCGTGGGTAAAGTCGTGGGTAAAGTCGTGGGTCATAAAATGTGCTAAAAACGCATTTTTTCACGAAGATATTATTTTTATTTTTAATATTTTTTCGTACTTTTTCCATTTATGCACTAGATAAATACAGGAAAATTTAACGTACTTTTTCCATTTATGCACTAGATAAATACAGGAAAATTTAACGCAAAAAATCTCCAGTAATAAAATAATTTCTTATCTTGCTGTTATCTATAGTATAACCTTGTTTAACAAGTAAATGTTTGATTATGTTTCCGTTTCGTATAGTCTAATAAGCCTATAGAGTATACTGTATTGTTTGATGTATAAATGTATTGTTTAAGTTATAGGATATAGGTGTATTAGCATTGGAAGTGTTATAGTCCCTATCAATTCATGAACGTCGCGAATAATTATGTCTGATTCATGCCGATATGCCTGATACAAACATATGAGGCTATACTGAATTTTACGCTGCAGTGCCTAGTATAATTAGTGGCCAACGCTCGAGCCTCAAATTTTGCTATTTTATCTCCTAGACCAAGTATATGTTTGTGGTCCTTAAAGGTATAGACCGAAACATTTCATGTGTATGTGGCGTTCGGAAATATTCCATAAATTGCTACGATTTGGGATTTCCCGATTGAAACCCGAAATGATTTGTGCGATGTCGGGCTAATTGCCAACCGAGCACGCTAGCCGCTGTTATTTCGACAGAATATGATACCTTTACACTTTTCAGCTGTAATTTTCAGCGCGCACTGTAA